AGCTAAAATAAGTGTTATATGAGTAAAAAAAAACATTAAAATAGCATATCTTGGTACGGAATAAAACAAAATGGTGAGTAAGCAATCTAAAATGACTTGTTTGAGCCTTTAAATAAAAAAAAGGGTTTTACAAAGTTATAGTAATATTCATATAAAATTGCATTTTTATGATAACAAACATTCGGATGATTGTCCATTGCTGCTGTGTATTCCCAGCCCAAATCTTTTTTCACAGTTTCATAAAGTAGTGAAGGGATAGAACCCTATCGGGTTTTACTGAAATGTTCCCTCACTTCCTATACCTGTGACAATTGTTTCAAAGGACAAGAAAACAAATGTGGGTTTCTTTGGTAGAGTAGGATAAGGCTAGAACTTTCATCAGCTTTTAATGTATGCCTTTGTAACTGTTATGGTCTGTTTCAGGCAGGGACGTGTGGTCAGGGGAGGCAGAGCCTCACCTAGTATTATGAAGAAAAAAGGTATCCGCTTCAAGTTTCAAGTCTGAAGCTAACAGCTTTTTCTCAAACCAGATCGGCTTGTTACAGGTTACACAGCAGGGAAAGCCTCCCTGCTGTGTAACCTGTTATGGATGGAGCGCTGCCTGTTAATTACAGGCAGCGCTGCATCCAGCTTTTGACAGGTAGGTTACACAGCAGCGGACTTCTCCACTGCTTGTGTAACCTAACTTGATGAGGCCAGAGCTGTCACAGCCTCTACTCTGTGTTAGAGGTGTGAGGTCTGTGGATGGCTTGGACCAATGGCAATGAGCCATTGGTCCAAGCTGTCCAATCAAAAGAAAAGAAAAAAACCAGTGAGGACACTGCTCTCAATGCCTCACCAGTGACTCACAAGTGACGAGCAAGTGAGGGACAAGGAGGCTCCTCCCTGTCTCTTCCCTTCCTCCTCCCCACACAGCTTGGTTACCGAGCTGGGGGCTGAGCTTCTGTTGGACAGGGCGGAGCTTCTGCGGGACGGGGCGGAGCTCCTGCTGGATTCCTCACCCAGCACAGAAGGCACGGCATGTCACTGGTTTCAGGGCTGGTAAATCCATTTCCACAAGAAAAGCAAGTGACAGGAATTTCTAACAGAGCCCTGTATAACAGTAAAATCCTAATAGGGTTTCAAACCCTTCCTATTCTATCAATCACAAAAATGGTTTGTCTGGATATGTTAAATGATTTTTTTTGCAGATTAAAATATCATAGTCTAATTAGCTCAACTGGTTCATCCAATGTGTTAAATAAAAGTGTACTTCAGCTGGCCAGCTGAAAATGCTACTGACATAGGACAAGTGTGCAGATGAGGCGTTATAATTTCATTCTGACTACATTGTTACATCCTTATTCCAGGTCTGTGGCTCTGTAAATACTTAGACCAAAAACAGTAAATACCATTTTCAGGCAAGGGTTTTAATTGCAGCTCACATATTCCTCTCTGCACAGTATTATTTAACAGCAAATGTGTTGAAGTAATTCCATTAGTTTCAGCTATGCCACTCATTCCTGTATGTAAGCAATGACAAGTATAATGTTCATTGCACCAGATCACCATAGGACATGCTTTATACACAGAAACTTAATCGACATGAATTACACTTTCCAGGGTTTTGTTCAAGAAGGGATAGAACTAGAGTACAAATGGGAATCAGGAATTTCAAGGAAGATTTTCAAAAGCAAGATTAGATCAATAATGCAGACAACTGAAACATTTTAGAAGACAGTGGGACATTAGGTCAAGTGCAGGGACTGGAGGTTAGTGGGATCAAAAAGCCCATACTATGGTGCAATAAATCGCTAGAATAACTTTTCTGGAAAAACAAGAAATACATTCAAAACCAAAATTATTTAAAAAATGTATAAACATATAAATAGTTATAGTGATGTCTTTTATAAGGGAACACTAAACTACTGTTTGCATGAGGAACAGCAATTAAAACTGCCTTTCTCTACCCCCCTTGTTTGCATAGAACAGATAATTTTGCATTCATTTGCTTAATGAATTTGGATTCTATTGTGCAATAAAACTGACAGAATACCATAGTGCCAGTCAAAGTGAGATGCTGGTGTTCATTTCTAATCAGTATTATATTTACTTTAGTATATTAGTATATATTTCATATCTTATATTATGTTTTGTAAAGTGACAAAACAAAACAGTACAGTATAGTTTGAATTTACAGCTTCAGCTATATTAACACAGATTATTTAAAAATAGATATGGGGATAGTGGTCTTCTAATGGAGTTTAGACCCACCAATTGGTTACCTATATTAATGGTACTACCAAGTACACCTATCTTCTATTTGGTTTCACTACAAAAGCGTTTCTATATTTAAAGGCTAAGTTTACTTTTCGGACCATGTTTCATGTTTCACCCAAACTCAGTGAGTAACACAAAACATTTTCATATTCCCCATACCCCCACCCCCATCATCCTACCTGCCCCCCATCTTTCCCACTTACTTGATTAGTGGAGTTCTGCTCCCCATAAGCTTTGGTCACAATTTGAATTTGGCATGGCTGTGCTTTTCTCCACATGAACAGCCACATCATCGATTCAGAGATCCTTGGTAGGATCTCTGAATGGAGAGAATACATTTCCCATCTGACATCACAGGAGAGGGACTTGTGGTTCTCAATGGAGTGCACTTTCTTTCATCCCTGTAACTAAAAGTCCATACCTTGGTATGGGCACGGGCTGAGAAGAAAAGTCTGCAGGAGCCAGAGCATTGCATCTGTGATCCACTGATTACTTTCACAAGTCTCAAATGCATGTGCATTGTCAGCAAAACATGAAGTGAGAGGAAGTAGAGTTATCAAAAGAGCAAAATGTGAGGTTAAATGCAATTAGAACAAATGTTTAGAGGACAACTGTCTAAAATGGGAATAACCCTCACATTGGGAATATTGTCTTCCATTTTCCTGTTGCACCTCAAGGACAGGAAGTATAGTGAAATCTACCGAGTGGCATGGAGGCAAAAAAAATCCCATCAGCTGTACTTACTGGAGGGTTGAGTTCTGGAAGGCTTGCTCTGTAAGTTAATGGTCGACAATCACGTGTATTTGGCACAGGTTGACAGGGAAGAAATCGAGGACCAAGATCATCACCATCAAGAACATCCACTGTCAAAGTAGTTGTACTTGTCCTCCTTTCATTAAGATTAAGGGGACGATCCTGCAGATGAAAGAAGGTCTTTACATGAATTTGCACTACTAACTACAGTCATGTGAAAAAAGTAAGTACACCCAGTGGAAATTGTTGACTTTTGCAACATATTTGAACAAGCATACAAAAGATCTTTATTCAAACAGTATTTACAGGTCAGGGTGATGTGCTTAAAATGACATTAAGAGTTCAACCTTAAAAATGCATTCAAGTACATTAACTATTAACAAAAACACGGTTCATTTGTGTATCACTTAGCTGCAGATCATCATATTTATCTCTCAATTGGTGCTGATGCTGTGCTTCCTTCTGGAGGGTGGCTACTTTTATTCTCCATGATCCCTGTGTGGGTCGTAAAGTTGCCACCGCTCCAGGCTCACTCCTGTAATGGACTACAATTTCACTTTTAGTTTGCTAATTTGTATTGAAATTGAAATAAAATCATGGAAAATGTGCCTTTTAAATCTTTAGCTCCAAAAAATATCAATAAATATCAGTAAAAAATGTATTGTAATAAAAAAATAGCAATAGATGTAATTAGGTACCTTTAAAAAATAAGTACACCTCTGGCCTCAGAAGCTGGTATTGCACCCTTTAGCAGAAATGACTTCTTGAAGGTGGTTTGCATAACTGCCCATCACTCTTTGATATGAATAATCAATATTGAGTTAAAGTGATATCCTTTATTGGATAACTTAGGTTATTTAAGATGCAAACTTTTGGGATTTCTTAGATCCCTTTGTAAGTCTTTGTACAGTTTATAAATGGTTCTGGAACCCACATATTTATTCAGAGGGTTGCAAGGAGGAGCAACAAAACAAACATTTAAAAAAGGTAAATGGTTAGGCTATAGAGATAGGAATCAGAGGTGGTAGTCGGATAACTGACTCAAAGATAAGGAGTTCCAGGTGCAATTCTCACTTCACAGCAATGTAAAAAATAACACAGAAATTATTAAATACAACAGTTACTGAAACTGTTAGAAAACTATTTCTTGGCACATCTAGATAGCAATGTTTAGCATAAATAGTTATGGTATATCTATATTTGTCAGAGCTTAAGAGTGTTGTTTGGCTAATTGACTAGGAGGAAAATAGCCCTGCCAAATGTGTCACCTCAGTCCGAATCTGAATGCACATGTCTATTCAACATGCGGTATGGCATTCTTCAGCAAAAATAGAGAAACTTAATTGCAGTTTCAGGCAAGATAAGAACTGTAAGTCTCTAGTTGGGGTTTGCTACTTACTGGCATTCTTGTATCCTGTCCTCATGCTAACAATCTTTTTGTTTTGTCTGCATCTCTGTAAGAAAGATTTCTTATCACATCAAGTTCTAACAAGAAATAAGAGGGACATCTCCTCTATAGTTGCAAAGGCTGTAATTAAACAGATGAAGTGGCTCTAAGGCCCCATTCACACCAGGGCGGTAGATGTTCAACGCGGTTTCTGTACAATTTTTAAAAGTGCGTTTTTTGGTGTTTTAATTCACGTTTCAGCTGAAACACAATTAAAAATGCCAAAAAACGGAACCGAAGTACTTCCACTTGCAATTTCCCGCGGTTTTCACAGCGAGTGCACCTACAAAGCACCGGGGTGTTCTCATCGGTTTCCACCGCAGAGCCTGCTTCGAGAGCCAGAAAGAAATTAGGGATCCCTCCGGGCGATATCTCTTGCTCCAGGGACTACTACAGGATCAGGAAGTCACCGTGGTAACGTATTACACTCCTAACACCCGTCAGGTACGTTTTTTGTCGCATCCTCTACGAGTAGTGGAATCACATGCCAGGGGTACAGTTATCCTATGTGGCGACTCAAATTTGACCCTGTTCCCCAGCATAGACAGAACCGGCCCACACTCCACCCCTTCCCCACAATCAGGAGCCTTTCGCTCCCTAATAGCACACCACACATTGGTCGACTGTTGGAGGGAAGTCAATCCCACAACTAAGGACTACTCCTTCTACTCCAATCCACACAAAACATTCTCCAGGATTGATCATATCTTTATTGCCCCCGCCCTCTTACCCAATATCCTTCGCTCCACCATGACTCCCTTTTCTTGGACTGATCACAGCGGCGTCACAATGGAATTGACCTCCCTTTGGGCCTCCAAAACTGACAGGACTTGGTGTCTAAATGACCTCCTGCTCAATAATGAGACCATGCGTCTTGCTATTGAAACAGAACTGACTACTTACATCCATTTGAACTCGACCCCTGATGTCTCACCCCTCACACTGTGGGAAGCACACAAGGTAGTGGTCCGGGGTCGCTGCATTCAGCTGGCCCCCTCACACAAACGGGAACGTATGCGGCGCCTAGCTGAACTAGAGTCTGAATTGCAGGCTGCCTCGGCAGCCTTTCACATGCACGCTACCCAAGCTCATAGGCGACATTGGATGGGGTGACCCGAGACCTAAACCTGCTACTGACGAGTATGGCGGACCGGAGCCTGCGTTATCGCACACACCAATTCTACCTAAATGGAAACAAACAGGACTCACTTTTGGCCAGGAGACTGCGTACGACCGACTTAACTTACAAACCACTGCGAATCCGCACACGGACGAGAGTCATGACCAGTGACCCCTCTAAAATTACGTCGGAATTCGAGCGCAGTCTCTCCGCGCTCTACGCGCCTGAGGCCCCAACCCACTCACCTGACATCCCCCAAGCCCTGACCGATCTGGATCTGCCACCCATCTCTCAACCATTCCGTGACTCCCTAAAAGAACCCCTCACACTGTCAGAAATCAAATGGGCTGTTAAAACGCTAAAAGTAAATAAAAAGCCAGGCCCCGATGGCTACACCCCGCTATACTACAAAACATACTTGGATTACCTGGCTCCCCTCTTGCTGGAAGCGCTTAACTCTATACGCACTGGCGCCTGCCCAAGGCCAGACATCCTATCGGCCACAATCTGCATGATTCCTAAGCCTGATTCAGATAATTCAGAACCTCTCCTGGGTTCTTCTTCTTGTCTCTCAAGATTGTTGTCCTTGGACATTGCTAAAGCATTTGATAGTGTGGAATGGGAGTACATATGGGCAATATTAAGAGCATTTGGGGTTGGTCCCCGATATATTTTATATATTCAACTACTATACGCCAATCCTTTGGCTAAAATACAAGTAAATAAAGCACTATCCCCAGCCTTTAAATTGATGAGGGGGACTAGACAGGGGTGTCCCCTGTCTCCCCTGTTATTTGCACTATCGATAGAACCGTTAGCTAATTTAATAAGAAACTCAGATAAGATAATGGGGTTTAAGCGGGGTAAGGCAGAGGATAAGATACTATTATATGCAGATGATACGGTGGTCTTTTTGGCTGATACTAATCACTCTCTATTAGAGGTAATGTCTCTTCTGGAATTTGGTAGGTTCTCGGGGCTATGTGTCAACTGGGAAAAATTGATGTTACTTCTGATTGATCCTCTTCCATGTCCACTGCCGATGCAAATTCAGCATATACAAATAGTGGAGTCTTTTGTTTATTTGGGTGTAAGGATTAGAGTAAACACTGAGGCATATTTAGAAGATAATTTAATACCAATTCTGCAGAAATTTCAGAAACAATGCAATATATGGTGTAAATTTCCCCTTTCCCCGGTTGGCAGATTAAATCTTATTAAAATGATTTGGATGCCTCAGCTCTCCTATATACTGTACAATTCTCCATGCTGGATTCCGTAAACTATATTCAGGAGGATAAATACAGTATTTAGGGAGTTGATATGGAGGAGGAAACAAGCACGGATAAAACTAGAAATCTTGCAATATCCTAAGAGAAACAGGGGCCTGGCACTTCCAAATCCATGGATAATGTTCTTGGCCACACAGTTTAGACACCTGGCGGGATGGAACTTGAAAGGACAGAGGATAGGGGCATATGATATTATTCAATGTCTGTTTTATGATAGGGACCCCCGTTATGGCCCTTGAAACTACTCTGTACTTGAGGTAATTTTCAAATCTTCCCACTTTAAGACTAATTGGTAAATTGTGGAAATCCATTAAAGGGATATTGGATATTTCTGACTTTACAAAATACACTCCGATATGGGATAATGGGGTACTGTACGAGGTAAACAAACTTCAGGGATTTGGAATATGGAAGGAAACGGGGATTGAATCATTGATGCATATCTATGATCAGGGTAGTTTGTGCTCGTTTCAACAGTTACAGGCAAGCTATTCGCTACCAAATGCTCAATTCTATAAATATCTGCAACTAAGGCATGCGCTCACGGCACATCCAGGTGTACGAGAGGTTTGATCTCAAAGATGTATGCAAAATTACTACCTGGGGTCCTGAATAAATCTCCCATGAAATGTAAAGTGGGCTTGGAAATGGACTTGGGGCCTATGGATGAAGCCCTCTGGAGGGAGGCGTTGTTGTCAATCCAATTAGTTTCACCATCTGCATCGCACAAATTGATGCAGCTCTATATTGTACATAGAACATATCGGACCCCTGAATTCCTACATAGGATAGGATTCAGGGAAAACTCTAAATGTCCAAAGTGTGGGGTTGAACCTGGTTCGTTAATACATCTGCTGTGGCGATGCCCGAAGTTTAAACGATATTGGCAGGAAATAGTAGATATAATAAATACAGCCTTTGGAGTCCATATCTCTAACAATCCCATGTTATGTATCCTGGGTATTTTTGGACCCATAAAAGTGGAATACTACACAAAGGTGGCAATAACGAGGGCTCTATTCGTAGCCCGGCGTAGTATAGCCCTTAGGTGGATTTCAGCAGTGCCTCCCACAGTAGAGGAATGGAAGAAATAACTAGATAAAGTGGTTAGATTTGAGGGAATTATGTTCAAGCACAGAGGTACTATGGACAAATACGGTAAAATGTGGGATAAGTGGATTGAATATGGTAAAGGACCTTGGGTATAATGTCTCTCGTATAATATCTCTCCTATTTATTATGGGTACTCTGAAGAGTAATGTGGCTTGAGAAAAATGGTATGTTGAGAGGAAAATTAATTTTA